CGTGTGCTCTTCCGATCTAATTTTTTCTCATTTCTTAAAACTTGATTTTTTGTAAAAAAAACAATGCAAAAATTATTCTTTTAATTATTTTTTCTGTTTTCTTTTATTATTATCATTTTTCTTGTATCAAACAATAATTTTACAAAGAAAAGAAACATATATGGATATGTATGGACATATTTCGCATATAATTATGTATAATTATATATAATTATATTTTTTTATATATATTTATAGATGTTCTCATATGAAAAAATTTTTTACCGGGTTCTTATCAATAAAACGAATAGCATAGTTTTCACATCAAGTATTCACATCATTTTATACATCTCTCCTCTATGTGCAAACAACAAAATACTTACCTACTTACTGCTTTAATAATAATCTTTGACCTTTGTAATATCTTTACGACATTCCAGACGCCGAGACCAAGGCCGAGACCCACTCCGCGACCGCCAACGACGGTATCGTTACCACCGGACCCACGTCCGGACTGTCCCGGTTCCTGCATCGTATCCTACTTGTCGTTCACCTGTTTCAGTAAGTAGTCGCGGGTGCGCGAGGAATGCTCACGCGCGTACAGATACAGTGTTTCATGTTTATTCATACGTTCGCAGGAAACGCCGAGCTGACGAGCCTGTTCAAGTGCAAGAAACAGGGACACCAGTGCTGCGCGCCGAAATCCCTGATAAGGGAATTCCACGGTGGAAATTCTACGGAGCCAGTTCTGACCAACAGAAACGATACGTTCCACGTCACTTCGCGACCTTATACCACCCCTCTTACAACCTTATGTAAGTGTTTGAGAATTGAGAAGTTTACTTTGTCGTTACTTTGCGAGATCATAAAATTACTGGGAATTGCGAAAATCGTCGGGGTAAGCTAATTTAATTTAAAGTTCAAATTGACTGATTTGAGTTCAAGTTGAAGGTCGATTCAAATTTAAGTTAAAGTCTAATCTCCCGATTAAATCGCTCGGATTAAATCATTCGCGTACTCGGTTTCTGACCAATAGGAATGATACATTCCACGTCGCTCCGCGATCTTATACCATCCCTCTTGCAACCTTATGTAAGTGAGAAATAAGAAGTCTATTCGTTACTTTGCGAGATCATAAAATTACTGAGAATTGCGAAAATCGTCAGGGTAGGCTAATTTAATTTAAATTTCAAATTGA